GTGCCGAACTTCGCCGGGCTCGGCCTCGAGAACACGTCGTGCAAGGCTGCCGGCCGGCGGCTCGTTCTCGACAAGTTCAACCGCTGCGTGCCGCACAGCCACATCTACGCCATCGGCGACGCCGCGGCGGATCGGGCGGTTGTGAACATCGCCGAGGCGCAGGGCCGCGCCGCCGTCGACCACATGTACAGCGACAAGCTCGCGCGACCCATAAACTCCGCGGTGCTGACGAACCTCTCCACCGTCATGTTCCTCGAGGAGGAGGTGGCGTGTGTTGGGCTCAACGAGCAGCAGTGCCGGGCGCAGCGGCTCAGCTACATGGCGGCGCGCTACGGCTACGAGTACCTGAGCCGCGCCATTGCAATGGGTGACACTGTGGGCTTCTGCAAGGTTATTGTGACGAATGACAGGGAAAAGCGGCTGCTCGGCGTGCGTGCTGTTGGGGCGCACGCTGGCAGCATCGTGGAGGTGGCGTCGCTCGCCATTCGCCGCGGGGAGTCGGCGTACGAGCTGCTGAAGTTGACTTCGTCGTATCCGTCGGTAGTGCAAGGTTTTGCTGAGTGTATTCGTATGGTTCTCGGCCGCTCCGCGATAAAGCCGAACACAACGCCACATGTGACGCTGAACGTGTGGCACCCGGCGAACTTTGAGCGTGGACGTGTGTACATTGACAGCGACGATGTTGCCGACAACGGTAACCATCACAACGACGACTTTAGTGGTGGTGGTGGTGAGGCGGAGGAGGAGGGGACGGCGCTACGCCGTGGATGATGTATGAAAGGACCGCATGGGCGCCGCGAGTAAGGGCAGCAGCGGTGATAGTAGGAGTGAGTTGCCACCACCGAATTTGGTGCATGCTGTATATGCACCACTGTGTGCTTTTTGTTTTGTTTCTTCGCTCTGTCCCATCACTTTCACCTGTTGCGCTTTCAAACGTTGTTGTGCTGCCACCATGTCACATCTTCTGCCCAGCACCCCAGTCTTCCGTGTTTGCCTCCCCCCACTGTAGCTGTTGATCCTGCCCCTGTCTCTCTCTCTCTCTTTTTCTCCCTCACCCACTCATCCACCACGTATCTCCATATATATGTATTTATATGCCCCACTGACGGGTATCTGTAGCTTTCTTGCAGGCATATATACATAGGGTTTAGAGGAGGGAACTCGGCATTTAATTGCGGTAGACGGCACGAGGGAAATAGCACGTGCCGCTGTGGCACCGCCCTCGTTCATTTAGCCTTCGCTGCACTGCAAGGGACTGACCCGCTCCAGCTCACACCACGGCGAGGCAAGAGCACGATTATCAGTACTACCCGAAACAGGTGGGGATAAGAACGAAAAGGAAATACAAAAGAGAAGTATTCGCCGGTAGATACATCGTGAGGCTCTGAACCAAGGCAAAGCGGGCACTACCCATGAAGCTAGATGATATCATAGAGAGGCTCTTGCTTCACCCCTCACACAACAGCGCCGCTGCTGGGGCTGCTGCTGCAGTATCGGAGAATGGCGCGGACCGTCAGCGCACCTACACGCGCCAGTCGCGTCTCACTGCTTTCAAAAATGCACAGGCGGTGGAGTCGCCGCGGCAACTGCGGGGGCGAGCCGCGCTATCGGAGATAACGGAAGCGGAGGTGCGCCACCTTGTCATTGAGTCACGTGTGCTCTTCATGTCACAACCGATGCTCATCGAGATTGCGGCGCCGGTGCGCATCTGCGGCGACGTGCACGGGCAGTACTCTGACCTGCTGCGACTCTTCAACCTTGGCGGCTACCCGCCGGAGAGCAACTATCTCTTCCTCGGCGATTACGTGGACCGCGGCGAGCAGTCACTAGAGACCATCTGCCTGCTGCTAGCGTACAAGCTGCGCTTCCCCGAGACATTCTTTCTGCTCCGCGGTAACCATGAGTGCAGCAGCATCAACCGCATCTACGGCTTCTTCGACGAGTGCAAGCGCCGCTTCAGCGTACGGCTGTGGAAGCAGTTCTCCGACACCTTCAACTGTATGCCGGTGGCAGGCCTCGTGGAGGGACGCATCCTCTGCATGCACGGCGGCCTCAGCCCGGAGCTGACAAGCATTGACCAGATCCGACATATCCTGCGGCCGACAGACGTGCCTGACAGCGGCCTCATCTGCGACCTGCTGTGGGCCGACCCCGGCGACTGCGACGGCTGGGGCGAGAACGACCGCGGCGTGTCGTGGACCTTTGGCGAGGACGTTGTGCAGGCGAGCCTGAAACTGTTCGACCTTGACCTCGTCTGCCGCGCGCACCAGGTCGTGGACGCGGGGTACGAGTTTTTCGCCGCCCGCCGTCTCGTGACGGTCTTCTCCGCGCCGAACTACTGTGGCGAGTTCGACAACGCCGGCGCGTTCATGTGTGTTGATGAAAGTCTCACCTGTAGCTTTGTGCAGATCGAGCCGCTGCAAACAGTGCTGCAGTACACCTTCTAGCCTGGGCGCGGGGCGGCTGATAGAGTATGAGGGAGAAGTTGTGCCGCCTACGACGGTTCGTTGACCAGGCCGATCAGTTCGTTGTAACAGAATTAATCTTCGTGTATGTTTGTGCATACTCACGACTGGGTGTGTGCGCTTCTCTGGTGGTGCGCCGCGGGTGTTCCTGTGTGTATGAGTATGGGCGCGCGGCTCCGGTCGTATTCTGCATCTGGCGACGTCGCCCCGCACTCGCACACGTAACATATCCACGCGCAGAGGTCTGCATACGTCGGTCTTCTCTTTTTTTTTTNCATTATGCTTGTTGAAAGAAATGCTGAGGGCGACTCATTTCTCGCGTCTGCCAGTGTGTGTATGCGCCGCGGGGGGCTGTTGCTGCTGCTGCTGCGTTGTATTGTCTTTGCTCTCCGGCTGTGCAGCTTCTCTTTGCTCTGCTGCTGCTTCTTGCTTGGTGGCGCAGGTTGGGTGCGGGGCGCCGTAGGGAATGCGGTACCTCTCGGTGTCGTCGCCCGGCTCCTTCTCGGTGGCGGTCGGCGCCTCGGGCGAACTCCACGGATTCACCGTGCAGCTGCTCGAGAACAGTCGCGGCCGGCTGCGCGCGCGCTCCGCTACGCTTGGCAGCGCCACCGTCGTCATGCTCCGCGTCGGTGAGCTCGATGAGATGCTCGAGCGCATGGCGGAGGCGCGGCGAAGCGGCGTGAGTGCGTCAACGCCACCGCAGCCGCTGCCGTCGCCATTTTCGCCACAGCAGCACGCACTAATGTACCGCTACCCGCTGCAGGAGGCGACAGGCGGCACTGCACACGCCGTGGAAGAGGCCGCAGCAGCAG